TTAACCCCCGTCAACACCCAGTCAGCCTCCAGATATCCCCTGTCAAATCCCAAACAATGTCCTGATCCCCAAGACATCCTCCAGTCAACCCCCAGTCAACCCCCAGTCAAGCCTCTGTCTGCCTCATTCATCAATCAGTCTGTTTTCAGTTAGTTCCAATCATTCCTCTGTGAGCTAATCCCCAGACTCCAAGTACCCACACAAGGTTTTGTTTCAGTAACATTGTGATTGGGCGTTTCACACTGAATCATTGAATTGATCCAACAAGAGGATGCATAGACAACTAGGACGCGTGAAGCTACAGATGATCAGTTTGGTGTAACATCAATGACAGGAACCAGTGAGTTGGTTTAGCAGAAGTAGTAAAACATGACCCAAAACTAAATGAATAACCGTCGCCTAGTTAAAAGAGAATATGACCATTGATGAAATAACAAGTGCTATGTTAATGTTCTGGTATCTAGTGTCCAGGGCCTAGATTTCCGAAGCTTTCATAACGCTAAGATAGTCGTAAGTGACATACATTAACATTAACTTACGACTATCTTAGCGCTAAGAGAGCTTTGAAAATCTAGGCCCTGGCCTTCAGTGAGGAGGGTCTGGGTGTAGTCTGTCATACAGACCCTGAAACATATCCAAGACAGCAGGTCTATATTTGGTAGGCCCAGACTACTGTCTTACAGTCCCTGAACCACATTATTTTCCATTCTACCTCGCCCTTTATGCAATGCTAAAGCAAGTCTGAAGCGAGTCAAAAATGAAGCAAAGCTAGATTTTCCCATGTTCTGAATTCCCTTCTCACTGGGGCTCCTTTACAATTTAAGAGGAATTGTTTGTTTCTGCCAAAATTGTATATATATTGAGAGACTAAGCATTAGTCTAAGGTTACTACAGTAGTCTATCATATAGATCCTGAAATGATTATATCCAAGAGAGCCCGAGCAATATTTAGTCTATATAAGTCTCTCTCTCTATATATATAAGTATAGATTACTGCAGTTTCTCAAAATGAAAAAAGTCTTTTGAACCACATTTCATATGTATTTACACAAATTTTTGATATATTTTTTCTATAAAATAATGTTCATGTTAGGGGCTAGATGTTTTCTAGGTTGGCTATAGAGCAGGTGCTTGCTATCCATTAAACCCCTGACATAATGATAGAGAAAGACCGTGACGGTTTTATGTCCGTCCCTGACACTGTCTGTCACTCAGCCTCTGTAACAAGGCAGCCATTACTGTTTCTGAGAGCTGGCAACCCGAGCTGGGCGGCGCTGACTACTACCATTATCTACAGTGTACAGTCAGACACTAATTATTCTTCATGCAGTATAAGTGGACCTTTGACAGCGCAGTGTTTGGGGTAGTGATGTAATGTCTTTGTTTACTTTGCATGTAAAGGTTAATCTATCATTCTGGATTTGATTGTCAGGAAGATTATTTACAATGTACATAATTCTGGGGGTGCTGTATGATGATACCGTGTGTGTGGTTGTTAGTTGGTTATCTGTATGTTGCAGTTAGACACTTAGGTAAATCTCACAGATTGTATTTATAGACAGTCTTTGGTACTGTCCCTTAGTTTTGAGTGCATGATGTTTGGTAGGTGACACTGATTGGGTGGAGTGCGAGAGAACAGTTCCACTTGGGTGGAGTGGGAAAGATCAGTTGCCCTTGGGTGGAACGGGAGAGATCAGTTGCCTTGGGTGGAGTAGAAGGGATTGGTTGCCTCAGGGTGGAGCTGGAGAGATTGGTTGCCCTCAGGTGGAGCTGGAGAGATCAGTTGCCCTTAGGTGAAGTTGGAGAGATCAGTTGCCCTTGGATGAGAGTGGGTGATCAGTTGCCCTTGGGTGGAGTAGGAGGGATTGGTTGCCTCAGGGTAGAGCGGGAGAGATCAGTTGCCCTTGGGTGGAGCGGGAGAGATCAGTTGCCCTTGGGTGGAGCGGGAGAGATCAGTTGCCCTTGGGTGGATTGAGAGAGATCAGTTGCCCTTGGGTGGAGTGAGAGAGATCAGTTGCACTTAAGAGTTGGTTTGAGATAGTAGACATCAGTAGGCCCGAGGGTTGTGGCCTACTTTCACCTAACATACACATAATAATTGTTAATTTCTACAACAGAACACTATATCTTAAAACCTATAGGGACTTAGATCCAGACATAAAGTCTCGAGACAATATCATTATTATATCATCCCTTGACAGGCCATTCTTCTATTTTGTAACCAATTCACGTTGAAATTCTTTAGGACATTTTTGACAGTTTCTCACTGTCCTAAAATATGACCCACTTGAAACCTGACCCTGATGTGTGCCAACCATCCATCATGGGTGTATAGATAGGGTCTGTGACGAAAGTCTGATCCCCAGGGTTCCATGTTTCAGTGAATGCTACTGACGATCAATATTTTCATGACCAGAACATTGTCCAGACATTAACACTACATCAACAAAACTGAAATACTGTTAAATCTGGCACTTGAATTCGCTGAATTGTAAATGTTAATAAAGGAAAAATCAGTTGATATTCTGAGTGGTCCTGGTTATTCATATTTTTTATTTATGGTTTTTAGTGAAATACTCTGTAACTGATTCCACACATTCCTCACGGGGAATGGGGAATGGTCCTGTGGGACTAAGTATGGGAATAGGTTCCCTACTGGGTTTAAGCGCCTGTAGTAAGAAGGAACGCCATGGTGATTTGGAGACAGAATAAGTCCCCAGTTCCTCATACCTGCTGTAAGGATTTGATGTCACAACACCTCAATTGTGTTTGCGGGGCGGTGGGGTAGCCTAGTGGTTAAAGCGTTGGCTTGTCACGCCGAAGACCAGGGTTCAATTCCCCACATGGGTACAATGTGTGAAGCCCATTTCTGGTGTTCCCCGCCGACATTGCTGGAATATTGCTAAAAGCGGCGTAAAAACAAACTCAGTCAGTCTCAGTCAATTGTGTTTGCTGTTGTCCATGCTGTCAATCTGTGGTTAGAATGGCATGACTGGGTTAATTGACTGGAATATTGCATAGATTGCTTTCAGGGCGAATCCTTCCATCCGGCACAGAGTAAATTAGACCTAACATAAGGATAACATAATGGATAAAAAGGGAGATAAACATGACACATCATATACTGGATTTACTTTGACAACAATAGTGTAAGGATACTTCATGACTCGCATACTTCCCAAAATATTTGGACATAGGATGGAATAGAACTGTGCAGTAATGAAAAACCTGTGAAGATCCGGGTTAGAATTGGTCTTCAGCAACCCATGTTTGTCGTAAGAGGTCCTAACCGGAGGGGTGGTCAGGCTCGCTGACTTGGTTGGCACATGTCTTCGTATCCCAATTGCATAGGACCGCCTTCGTGGTGTTGTGGTTAGAGCGTCCGCCCGGAGAGCAGAACGTTGCGGGTTCGATCCTCGACCGCGTCATACCAAAAGACGTTAAAATATGGTACTTGTTGGTGCCTGCCTGGCGTTCGGCATTAATGGGTACAACAAGGACTGGTCGGCTCGGAGTCAGTATAATGTGTCTGAGTGGGGTATTCATGCTTCACTGTGGCATGGTATCTCAGTGGTCTAGCACTATAAAACCAGCTTAAGTCTAGGCTAGTACAAGCAGCCGCACATACACACACACACGCATGCACATCGTCATATGAGCAAAATATTTTCAAGCACGACGTTAAACCCAATTTCACCTCACCTCACCTCTCCCAATTGCATAGGTTTGATGCTCATGATGTTGATCACTGGATTGTCTGGTCCAGACTCGATTATTTACAGACCGCCGCCGTATAGCTGGAATATTGCTGAGTGCGGCGTTAAACAACAAACCAACCATCCAGCACCATATCCATGTTTGTAATTTTCTTCAGAGTTGTAAATTCAACAAAGTTGTTGTTTATGCTCAAACATATTGTCAGGAACAGCACTATAGCAGAATATTTGTTATCTTTGCATTGGTATAAACTATAGATCTTGCTACATGTCACTCAAAATATCAGAGGGGCGGTGGGGTAGCCTAGTGGTTAAAGCGTTGGCTCGTCACGCACGAAGACAATCCGCCAATGTGCGAAGACCCTGGTTCGAATCCCCACATGGGTACAATGTGTGAAGCCCATTTCTGGAGTCCCCCGCCGTGATGTTGCTGGAATATTGCTAAAAGCGGCTTAAAACCAAACTCAGTCAGTCAGTCAGTCAAAATATCAGAAAATGTAATGTCACACATAACTCTCACATGGCAGTAGGTCAAACGTCACATGGCAAATAGCAGACATTTCTTATCATCCCAGAACATCCATTTAGGAAAGACAACAAATTTGTTTGTTTTTTTACAAGTTCAGATGAAACCAAATGAAATGCATATCTTTCTTATGATGACTTGAAGCTCATAATCCTTGGGTTTTCGTTAAAGACCATCGTAATTAAATAGTTGTGTAGCAGCCTTTATATAACTGAGTTTCAAGCTACGAATCCAGCCACTGACCTTCACATCCAAGGTTCGATGCCTTGTCAACATGTCTATAGGGGTTACCATCATGATTTAAACTGAGGATGCGTCTATGTCCTACGTCAGATTTGTTATCATGTGCTTTAGAAATAATTCCCCTGTATTCCGGAACTGCTAATCAAAATGATGAAATATCATCTTTCTGTTTTATTGACTTATGTATGTTTATTAATATGATGTTGACATAATACCTGTACATCATTTATCTATATGTACCACAGTTTTGTACATATGTCATTGTCATCTTGGGAACCAATGGAAAAAAAGAAAAAAATGATTGGGTAGTTATGTTGTGTGACTATTGGGCCATAACGCCCCGTAGGAATAATTCCCCAGTGTTCAACAACAACAACAACTGAAATTATGTTTGGGTAGTTATGTTATGTGACCTTGTATCGTGTACCATGGTGACATGGTGTAGATGGTTACTCATGCTTGATTTCCTTAATGTATGGACAAACTTACTGTAACTGTCTTCTTTCTGGTTTCAGGAATGGAGGATGACATGTTCGACACCCATTTGTGCCTGGTCTGCAACCAGACCATCGTTGGCCTCATCAACTACATCGTCCACAAAAAGAACCAGTGTCATGGAAAGAAGCAGACAGATATCCCAGCAGACGGGCCCCGTCCTGTTGCCCCTGACAACACATACCAGGCACAGATCACCTCCAGCAGTCACCTCCAGAATCCGGGCACCCTGCTGATGAGCAATGACCAGAATGTTGTCAATCCATCCTCCATGTTATCAGGACTGGGACAGAGGACAGATAAGGAGTTCTCATCTCAACTCATGTTCCCTGAATCCCACCCAGATGCCTATACTCAGCCCATGCAGACTCTTAGTGGCCCCACCTTCACCTCTACCACCGCTGCAACGACTCTACCCACATCTGTCTCAGAATCTAGTCATTACTCTAGCCTTGAACCATGTCAAGCTATTACTCCCCCTAGCACTCAACCCAATCGTCTCTTCCATTCTCCAAGTTCACAGCTTAATACCATACCTTCAACATTGTCGTCGTCTCTGACAGCTGATCCTCTTCCACCAGCAATAGCTTCAGAGCCATTGCAGTCTGCTTTACCATCCATCTCCCAGCAGAACGTTTCAGCATCACCTAGTCTGTCTTTCAGTGCTCCAGACTCGAACCAGAACTCACATAACACGTTATCTGTTGAAGTGCATTCACCTCTGTCACGTTTCATCAATGCAAATCTTAGCCCAATTACAGGAGGAGCTGTTGATCCCAACTCTGTAATGCCTACAACTACCTCGGGGCATTGTGAAGACTTCTTCCAGTCCTTGGAGCTGCAGAGTAAAGGAGCACGGGAACAGAAGTCACCCAATGGATTTGGCAGAGATGCTTTGAATCATCACTCAAAAGGATTTGATGATGAAGATCATGCAGACATTGATCTTCCAATCTCGAAAATCCTGAGTAATCTGGACTTCAGTTCTGATGAGGATATCGTAGACTTGCCTTCTGATGATGACTTAGATTGTAACTTTGATGTCTATTCGGATGATGACTTCGACAACCCGCCCAACTCCCACACAGGAGGGAAGTGGAAGCCAGGTGAAGGTCCTCATTACAAGCCTCAGGGTAAAAAGATGAAATGGAGACTTGGAGCAGGGCCGATCCGACATGGCGGCAAGTGGAAACCAGGGATGACACACGGGAAACACGGACCTGCAGCTAAAGGAGAGCCAAGTCATGCATCCAAGGGAAAACAGGTCCCATTATCCATAGGCAAACAAATAGACGCAAAGAACTACGAGTGTAAGATTTGTGATATGACTTTTAATAATAGATTTCTCTATTCCAATCATTTTGGCTCTAAAACACACAAGGACACAGTTGCTGCCAAAGATACTGAGAAATCAAAGAAGACCGATGAAGAGCAACAAGAGAAGACAGCAAAAAATAAGACCGAGAGTGATAGTCAAGGGATGACTCCTAAAAGACAAGTGCATGTATGTACTGTTTGTGATAAGAAATTCCACAGACGATATGAAATTGCTAAACATCTTGTAACAAATTTCCATCGAAATCGTGCCATGAAGCATCCCGAGGCAGTGAACATGCTTCAGAAGTACCATCACCTGGTGCTGCGACTCAGCCCCTATCAGTGTAAACTCTGCTGTTTCTTTTTCAATCGGGAGCGTGACTTCTTAGACCATGTTGACAGTGCAGAACATGTGTCAAGCTGCTCTAAGGCTGTTGGGCAACTTGTGTGTGTTGTGTGCAAGTTCATGGCCAGTGATTACAAGATGCTGAACGATCACATCAAGGCCAGGGAGCATAAGGATGAAATGAAGAAGTGTCCAACTCTGTGCATCATCAAAGAATACGTCTGTGAGATTAAGTGTAAATACTGTGGTGTTGTAATGAACAACAGGAAACGTATGAGTCGCCATATTGCCTATCGCCATCCTCAAAAACAGTTCACCAAGCCATTTATTCGTGTGAAGGGAGGCCATCATCCAGAGTGCCCAGACTGTGGCAAGACTTGCGTGTCTCCATCAGCACTTATTGTCCATATCAGAAGGAACCATACCAAAGAAAGGCCATTTAAGTGTGATCCTTGTGGAAAATCATTTGCTGTCCTGGGAGCTTTAAGCAACCATGTAAAATCTCGAAGACATGAAAATAAGTTAAAGCAAAATGCTGCACTGGAGGTGTTGGGCCAGGCGTTGAGAGGAAAGCTGGCAGAAGGGATGGATGTGAAGGAGGAGGAGGTGGAGAATGACCTTCAAGGGAAACAGGAACAAGATGGAAACAGGCATGAAGAGGGGGTGAAGATTGCTGATGAAGCATCAAGTGTGGAGGAGGATGACGACAATGAGGATGATGCCATGGTAATATACGATAAAGATGACAAAACCTTTCCAGAAACTGATGGAAAGAAAGAACGTGCCTTAGGATTTGAATCAAAAGAAGGAGAAGAAAGTGTTCAAGCAAACAGGAAGGTTATATTGAGGAAACGAAAGAAGAAAAAGGTCTTCAAATGTGAACATTGTGACTTTGCATGTGGCCTGTATTCTGACCTCAGACCTCATTGCGAAGAGGTTCACCCTAACGAGGTTCACTACTGTGAGATGTGCAGCAGCACCTTCCTGTCACTGAAGGCGTATCGCATCCACTGTTCGGGGCGTTATCACCAGGAACAGATGGAAAGGAGCACTGAAACAGCATCGGACCTGTTCTTCAAGTGCAGCATCTGCGACATGAAGTTTGTGGATGAAAGGTGGCGAAACTTCCATTTTGAGTACCAGCACAACCACCTCAACAATGAAGCCTCACTGCATGAGATCACCAAGGGCAATGACAAGGTGACAAAGCTGTACGGGGATCATCTGCAGCTTTTGGAAGACTTGCCTAAAAACACCTCTCTGTCTTGTCCAGAGTGTGGCAAATTCTTAAAGAAAGATCATCTTGTGGAACATCTAAGGCTCCATACAGGTGAAAAACCCTATACTTGTCGATTCTGTGAAAAGTCTTTCGTTGCTAAGCTGTCCCTTCGTCGACATCTAATGATGCACATGGGGCTTACTGAAAACACATGTAATATTTGTGGCCGTGAATTTAAGAAATTGGAAACTTTTCGGAACCACATGGAACAGCATTCGAGTGAAAAGGAGGGAAGTAAGTGCATCTGTGATGTCTGTGGAATGGTCTTCACGTTGAAAAAACAGGTTGAAGCACACATGAAGCGTCACGGAGAAAGGAAACATAAATGCCCCATTGATGGCTGTACCTGGACGTTTGTGATGCGGCATGAGCTCAAGATGCACATGCTTACACATACCAAAGAGAAAAAGTTCCTTTGTGATATATGTGGTTTCGGCGCTACCACTAAAAACCGTCTCCAGCGCCATGTGAAAACACACTCTGGTATCCGTGATTACCATTGTGTGTACTGTACATATAAGGCTGGATGTAGCACCCATTTACGCAGACATATGCGTATCCATATAGGTTCAAAACCCTTCAAGTGTCCTTATTGTCCTTACACATGTAATACACATGAAAACGTGAGAAAACATATTGCCAAAACAAAGAAGCATCAAGGACTGAAAATATATCCGTGTAAGTTTTGTGAGTTTGGGACAAACACTGGCAAGGAATTCCGTGACCACCTCCTTACAAGTCACCCTGATGAGGTCACTGGGGAGAAACTGGACTCGCTGTCTGTGTTTTCAGGGCTGTATGTCAGGGGGGACGATCCCTCCCAGCCACAAGAGGGAACCAAGATAGTCCATGTCAAAGAGAGACAACCAAAACCACAAAGAAATGCAATCATTCAAACCATCAAAAATGTTAGATTAACAAATCAAAATGTAGACATCCAAGGGGCAGCTGCAGTTATCTCTGAGGCAGCCAGTCATGTTCCTCGTCAGCCAATTTGCAACATTGAATCTTATTGGTCAAATGATACCGGAAGCAATAGGAATCATTGGTTCCAGGCAAACGATGCCACAAATGCTATCACGGCCTTGACTTCTGACCCAAGTAACCTCTATGCTCAGCCAGTGTCGACTTCGGAGAACTGTTTTCTGGTGAATGTAGCTCACGGTGGAATCAACAGCAGCTCCACCAGCTACCATGAGGGATCTGTTGCTAATGTGGTTGTAGTGTCCAGTGACTTTTAGTGCTTCAGGGTTGCTGGAGTAGTCTAGTGGTTAAAGCGTTTGCTCATCACACTGTATGCTTGGGTTTCAATTCCCAATGGATGGGACTTGGTAAACCCATTAGCAGTGTTCTTCATAATGATAATATTGGTGAAAGTGTTGGAAAAGCGTAAACAATCACTCATTCAAGCACTCACATATCCACTCACTGGCTGGCCGGTGAGGTAGCCTAGTGGTTAAAGCGTTCGCTCGTCACGCCGAAGACCCGGGTTCGATTCCCCACATGGGCACAATGTGTGAAGCCCATTTCTGGTGTCCCCCACCGTGATATTGCTGGAATATTGCTAAAAGCTGCGTAAAACTAAACTCAGTCAGTCAGTCCACTCACTCACTGAAGCCTTTTCACTCTTATGTATTTGATACAAAAGGATTCAAAAAGGATACACACAATCTCTGCACTCTATGTAGAGAAATTGATAGGAATAATTAACGGCTTTAGATCTAGTTTATATATTTAAGGCAATTATTATTTTACACTATCATGTTAACCAAGACCTGCAGAAATCCATTTGACACATGTCAAAGGTCAAGGTTAATCTCTCGTGGTCAAGGTCAATCTCTCCAGTTCATTAACATTGTTGTATTGAGTGAGTGAGGTAGGTATGGCGTGTGCCAACCATTACAATTTTGGTAGAATCATTTTGTTCCCAAACAATCATGTGACATTTGTGACAAAATTTTAAGAATTGACTTCATTTTTGTTTTTGTTTATGGAGGTTTAAAAGTAAAAGGCAGTGCATACAGTGTAGGGGTGATGTGGTGGCCCAGTGGTTAAATCTATGGCTCATCACACAGAAGACCTGCGTTCGATTCCCCACATGGGTACAGTGTGTGAAGCCCATTTCTGATGTCGCCTGCTATAATATTGCTGGAATATTGCTAAAAATGGCGTAAAACTAAACTCACTCATTCACTGATTGGATTGAGAAGAAATAAATATTTTAGATACACATTATTCCAGGTATTTCTAATGCCTCTATTTGTTGGTAGCAGGTGTGTTCAGATGTACATTTATTGGTCACAACAAGGAATTAGTGTCAAATTCAGATTTTAAAAATTATTTAACTTAATTTGTAACATTATTTATTTGTTATTTTCTTCCATTTCTGTTTTCATATTGATTTTATCAGTTATATCATGAAATATAATTGTTGCTCTAGTAATATGAATGAACGCTTCGAATCCGTATACACAATAATGAAATGTATTAGGTTGGAGAAGTGTTATTTCTTGTTTTTGTACTGTCAGTTTGCCAACAAAGGAAATATAAAATCAAGATGCAATGTCCAAGGAATCAAGCTGATTTTCTAGTCTGTCTCACAGTCTGTGAACCACAATATCTTCCCTTCCGCTCAACCATTTCTGCAATACAAAAGCTCTAGATGAGCAAGTCTGGATATCCACATGCTCAGGGGCTCCTTTTCAATTTAAATGGAGTTATTTTTTCGCATCAGAATTACATCTGTTCAGATAGTATACTGATTTTCTTGAATGATCTTTTACAAAAATATGTAAAATAGAAACGTGATTTTAAAAAAGCTATATACAACTTTTGTGTTTTTATAATATTCATGTCTCACTTCACCTATGAAATAGAAATATATCAATCCAAAGATTTTGATACTGGAATTATTTTACCCAGAATGTTTTATTAGCTCATATGAATGTCTATATATGTGTTTCTTTGTGGTCGTAGCTTTCTTCAGTATTATTGAAATCAGATCTTACTGTTCATTACCATTGTTTTGAGCACTGAAATTATATTTTTAAAAATATTTTCGATGTGGGATGGGGTAGCCCAGTTAAAGCATTCACTCGTCACGCCGCAGGCCCGGGTTCGATTCCCCTCATGGGTAGCCAATTTCTGGTGTCCCCCTGCCGTGATATTGCTGGAATATTGCTGTTAGCGGTGTAAAACCATACTCATTCACTCTCTCTGGTTCTTCTACTTGAAAACCCCCACTATGATATTGCTGGAATGTTGCTAACAACGGCATAAAACCATACTCAGTCAGTCAGTCAGTCAGTCTACTTAAAAAGAGTTGTCATCTGTAAAGGGGCGGTGGGGTAGCCTAGTGGTTAAAGCGTTGGCTCGTCACGCCGAAGACCCGGGTTCGATTCCCCACATGGGCACAATGTGTGAAGCCCATTTCTGGTGTCCCCCGCCGTGATATTGCTGGAATATTGCTAAAAGCGGCGTAAAACCAAACTCAGTCAGTCAGTCAGTCAGTGTCATCTGTAAAAATCAAAACACAAATAAATTGGGTATCAGTCTTCTACTTGGAAATTGTCAAATTCTTTTTAGGTATATTTGCTTTCATTGAGCATAAATTTGAAGCTTTTGGCTTCCTGAATCACAGTCAGTCTTTTCTTCTCTTTTTTTTATAATGTGGTTTAATCGTTCGCTCCTCACATGAAAATATGGGTTTGATTCCCCACATGGGTACAATGTGTGAAGCCCATTTCTAGCGTTCCTTTTATTGCTGGAATATTGCTAAAAGCGGCATAAAACTAAACTCACTCACTCACTCACTTTTTTCAAACAGAATTATACACTCATGTAGATATCCAAGAACAGTGTTCCAGCAATTTTAAACCTTAAGATAGTCAAGTAATTTATTATTTGCCGAGGAAGACATGTTTGCTCAGATTTATATGTGAACAAAATAAATCACCTACTTAAAGCTTCTGTATTTTTCTGTTTGTAATCTGCCGCTGTTTCTAAATATAATTTCTTAATCCCTCTTGAACATTTTATGTTACCTACCCGCTCTGGAACTTTTGTTCCGGCTCTATGGCAGTGGTCTGTAAATAAAACAGTCTGCACAAGACAATCCTGTGATCAACCTCTACACAAATGGAACATGGTGATATTTGTGAACCAAATCAAAACCTAACCACCTGATCACATTAGTCACCTCTTGGAGGCTGAAGACAATTTCTAACCGAGTTGAAATTAAAACAAAATTCTGACCACCTATATTTAGCATACATGTAAACTAAATCATAAACAATCACCCAGTGATATATACCCATTTGTGTACCAATAATTACACTACCCAATATTTGTGTTCAGTTCTTATTTCATTGTCAAATCAATCATTCTGTTCTTTGTTTTATTTTTTGTTGATTGTGCCACATCTAGAAAGCACAGAGATTGTTTCATGATTACTGTCTTTCATGATTACTTTTGTTTCATGATTAATTTGGTTTGTTTTGGGTGAAAGTGCAAAATGATTTGAAATAATTCCATGATTGTTCAGAAGCCAATCAATTTAGTGATGTCCTGATCCGAGTTGAAACTGAGTGTGGAATCTGCGACAGGTCATGCTAATCTATTCATGTTGATGAAAGTACCATATTTCCTCTAATAAGCGCCCCTGGCACTTATTTTTTCAACGGACCTCCAGACCCGGCGCTTATTAAAATACCCAGTATTTTTAAAAGCGGGGATGAGTACATGAAGTTATGATTTAAGGGACCATTCCTTAATATATTTATTTTTAGACCAAGGGAGAATACATTTGCGAAAAAATGCAAAGGTCTATACCCAGCGCTTATTAGAGACCCGGCGCTTATTAGAGGCCCGGCGCTTATTTCTTAAAGCACTACTTCATCCCCGACGGTTATTAGAGGCCCGGCGCTTAATAGAGGAAATACGGTAGTTGTTTGCTCCTTGTGTTTGTGGAGAATCGTCACAACACGTATTGTTACTGAGAGGATTGTGTGTGGATGCTGCTTGTACCTGTAATGTTGTTGAGGATGGCATAAAATCATTGAAATCTGGATTGGGCTGTTGAATTGTTGCTTGTTTCATATTGAGAGGACAATCACCATCAGGTGAAATGAAAACCACCCGACAACCATCTCTGGAACTGGAATCAATGGATCGAGAAATAGTGTTGATGGATTTGGGGGATGGTTTCCCATACCCTGTCAACAGTTTTATAATGAGCAGGAATCCATTTTCAGGAATATATTATTCCTTGGTGAGTTTTGCTTAGTTGGCAAACATACTCTAAGAACCAAAGTGGTAAATGTGTAAGACTGCATGATAACAGTCTCAGTTTGAGCTGGAATCCATGTTCACCAAGGAATACGTTTTACCAAGGTGATTTTTTTATTTGTCAGCAATATACCCTCGGAACCAAAGAAGTAAACTGTCTAAGACTGTGTGATAACATTTTCATAATGAGCTGGAATCCATGTTCCACAATAATGCATTGTACCAGAGACCTAACACGGTTTATATATTCTCTGATTGTAACCTACATGATTTTCGGTTTGTCAGCACCATACGCTCGGAACCAAAGATTGTGTTCTAGAAGAGATGGTGATCACTTCCATACCTCCATCGTCGCATCTTGTTCTCCCGGGGGCGGTGGGGTAGCCTAGTGGTTAAAGCGTTGGCTCATCACGCCGAGGATCCGGGTTCGATTCCCCACATGGGCACAATGTGTTAAGCCCATTTCTGGTGTCCCCCGCCGTGATATTGCTGGAATATTGCTAAAAGCGGCGTAAAACTAAACTCAGTCAGTCAGTCAGTCTTGTTCTCCCGAACTGTAGTTAAAACGCCATTGGCCCACGTTCGTAAGTCAGGTTTATCAGAGCCCGAATACAGGTAGCATATGCCCTCTTGGAAAGTGAAGCAGAAAAATCATCCACATACCACCAACATGCTATGCTGTTGCACTGTATGGGTCTTTAGGGTTGATCTGTATGATACACGTTCACGATAATATGGCCTTAGAAACCCATTCAGATTCAAAATTGTTCACACATTGGATTTTAATTTAAACTTCTTCGATTGCAATACACATGGTCAAGCAATGCTTCAGCTTTGATATTCTTTCTCTACATCTTCTTCATTTGGTCTCCGGGGCGGTGGGGTAGCCTAGTGGTTAAAGCGTTGGCTCGTCACGCCGAAGACCCGGGTACGAATCCCCACATGGGTACAATGTGTGAAGCCCATTTCTGGTGTCTCCCGCCGTGATGTTGCTGGAATATTGCTACAACCGGCGTAAAACCAAACAAAGTCAGTCAGTCATTTGGTCTCCGTAAGAGTCCACGACAATCACTTCTTTATTACTGGTACAATTTCTGTGAGTTTAGAAAAGAGGTGAAGATGCTCGGCCAGGAGAATAATGGGCAAGGCAAGTAGTTCCAACCCTCAGTCAACAGCTCCAGTCTCTGCAACAGGTTATGTTCGCACGTGTTG